TATATATATATATATATAATTAGCTTTAATATTTTTTACAAATATCTATAGTAATTATATCTATAGTAATTATCTATAATGTTTATAGTATACTATTATACAACTTTAAGTTTTCCACATCTTTTTATGGTTTTTCTTTCGAAAGATAATATATGATAAATATATGTATTATTTTTTATAGAATTAATTATATTTATTTATAAATACATATACACTTTTACTTTGTACGTTACTTTGTAATTTATTAAGAAATTTTAATGTAAAATTATAAAATGTTAAAAAAAGAATTATAAATATAACATGTATTGCTTTTAATTTAGTACTTAAACAATACGAAAGATAGAGATATTTTTTGCAAATCTTTTTAAAAATTTCTCTAAATAAAATTTTTGTATTATTTAACATAACAATGTAACAATTATAAACTGTCTATTACCAAAGTGTACAATAAAAAGTGATTATTCTTTTGGAGATGAAATGCTAGAACTAATATCACTCAATAAGCAAGATGGTGTTTGCTCCAAATCCTTTAATAGTTCTCCCTGTATTTCTTCTTGAATATCTTTCTTTTTTTCTTTGTTAATCTTTTCTTTTTCAATAGGTTCAATAAGTCCTAAACATCCTAATGTGTATTTGCAATCGATATTGTCAGTCTACAATATACATGTACATACGTTTAATTTAAAAAATTAATCTTTTTATTTGTAATTCTTTATTACTAGGTTTAACATGAAGATATGTACCTCGGATGCCGTGTAATCTACAGCTCCAGTAATGGTTTCAGTTTGTAATATTTCCATCAGAGATTGTAGCATTTCTGGACACATTTTCCCAAGACATTGTTGGTTATCATAAGCTTCTTTTGCAAGCTATTAGATATTTAATTACAATAAATAATTAAATAATAATAATAATTATTTATAATTATTATAAATGTAGTTTGAAAAAAATTTGATTTGTATTTTATTACGTTTCCCCTTAAATATCTTCTACATATTTTTTAGAACACCTTGTATACATACGAATGAAAATGCGCATGAAAATATGAAACTATTTTTGAAAAAAACAATACAATATGTTATTGATTAAAAAGAAATAGATTTAAATATTAAAAACTAAGGGAAAGTGAAACTAATTGAATAAAGGACATAAAATCACCTGCAAAGCTTCAGTAAGAAAGGTGCTAACATTGTTTAAAATAGACTTTAATGTTTCTAATTCTTTTTCTTTCTTTTGAATTAGTTCTATTAATTGTTTATTTTCATTCCTAGCCATCACGATATTTCTTTCGTATTGTTTCATCTCTTTATCCAATAGTTCGTCTTTTCGTTTAATAATATCTTCCAAAATTCTTTGCAATTGTCTGAGACGATTATTGTTTCTTTGTGCTTGTCCATAATACAACATCAACGATTCATATTCCTGTGAAATTATATTTATATCTTTTGTTACTGTTATTTTATGGTAACAACTACACAACTTGTATTAGTCAAATTGCGTAACTTGACGAATTGATTGATTTACAATAACAATAATAATCTTACTTCAACAACTTGATGAATGGTATCCCTCTGTTTCAATGTCTTATCCAACATTATCTTCGTCTCGGTTTCGAACAATTCGCATTTCAGCCTCAACGTTTGTTCCGTTTTCTTGCGTTCAATGTTGATGGCATCGAGTTCCTTGTTGGTCTTCAGCAACTTATCAAGATCGCGGTTCAACGCCACGTTTTCATGAATCGCACGATTCATGGCTTCCGTTATTCGTAATGTGACCGCTTTCAGAAGTCGTTCCGATAAAATTTGCAAATGTTCCTTCATCTCTTTCTGCATCCTGCACACATTCATCGCGATTGCATAGAGTTATCGCAATCCCGGGCTCGTAAATTTTTCTATA